TCTCCTGGAGCTCTGATCACTCGAGAAACTTTGACGTCATTGGTGTAAACAGTGACACAATTTGACTCACTAAATCGTTTATGAAGACCAAGAATAGACGGGGCCCCAATACCGAACCATGTGGCACACCGCATACAACGTGAATTGGGTCTGACATGGATTCACGTATTCTCACATCCAGACGCTTGTGTGAGAGAAAATTGCAAATCCACCTGAGGACAGGGTCCCCAATGCCACATCCTTGGAGTTTGGCGAGAAGGATACGATGACCTAACCAATCGAATGACTTAGAGAAATCAAGGTAAGCCACATCAACTCCTGCACCAGCGTCCACAATTTCGGTTCAGCTGTCTCGTGCTAACAAAAGATTGGTTGTGCACGACCGATTCTGGCGGAAGCAGTGTTATTGTTGAACAATGTAACGAAAGCCGTCCAGATTAGAAATGAGTGTGTCCGCAACGATAACCTCTATAACTTTTGATCGATAATTAGCTGGGTCAGACCGACTACCCCTTTGTAAATGGGAGTTATTATTTCGTGTTTCCACATTCCAGGAACGTGCTGCTCATCAAGACAGCGCTGGAACAGCCGCGCCGAAGGTTCAGCCAGAATAGTAGCCGCCACAGCAAGCGTCTTTGGGCGGATGTCGTCAATTCCTGAACAGGCGTGCAGGCGCATGCATAGCATCTTTCGCATCACGATGTCTGCCGTAAAATTTATATGAGTCAGTCTTGCTGTGGGCATCATAGATTCCAAAGATTCAGGAGACAACGGGATGCAATGGAACCTTGGTGCATATTGTTGTTGCAGAACATTCGACGCTTCCTTAGCAGTCCGAGTAAAACCATCCGCTGTTTGAAGAGGGGAAAGTCCAATTTTCACCTTGCGGAGGCTGTTCACTTGCTTGTACAGAAGCTTAGGATTTGCAGTTAATCGCTCGGCTAAAACATGTTGATAAGCTACTTTGTCCTCGCGCAATAATTGGGTACAGTGGTTACGGTGGAAAACATATGCCTTCCAGGTACTAGGACTCTGATCGGTTTTGTCGTATACCATGCCACGTTGCGCATCAACATGCGTTTGCGTGCTCTAGTCCGTATAAACGACGTCATGTTTCTGGAACTGATAGCCTTGGTTTCCGATGCTCCCCTAACCAGGGTGTTAAAATTACTGACGAAACGTTCCCAGGCAATATAGTGTGCATCCTCGGTTAGGAAACTCCAGTCGGTCACTTAAACGAGTTAGGTTAAGGTGTCGCAACTGGTTACAGTTCGCGTTGTTTGAGTTCGGTCCTCGGGATATTCAGCATAGCAAGTGTACATGAAGTGTAAAGTCGCATGATCACTGAGACCCAGAGGAGTATGCATTATCACTCTAGTGATCATCAGTTCTTCATTAGTGAATATTCAGTCCAATATGGATGGCCTGTTATTTCCCCTGAATCTGGTGGGTGAAGTGACGTGGCCATAAAGCGGAAAATCTGAGACAAGATCTTGCAGGTCTGCTTTGAATTGCTCTCCTGGTGTGGCCTGGGATTCCAGAGCATGTGAGCCGAAATCATCGGCGACTAGAAGGTGACTGTAGTTCCTGTTTATCACCTGCTTCAATGCAGTTACCAATTTGCAGTCCATCTCAGGTGTAGACGATGGTTGTCGGTAAAAAAACAACTTCTAGGCCAAGATCGTTCTCTCTCAGCCGGAAGCTGCACCAAATGGAGTTAGGTACCTTGGTTTCCGAATCGTGTATGGGTTCGCACTGCAGGATTTTACGAAAGTAGGTAAGAATACTCCACCACTCCCCGTGGTTTTGTGAGTTTTATTCCACTCATCCCTATTCACCCCGTCCTCTTTTACGGTTCCCCACATACGTTTTCTATTACTTCACCTTGTGACTAGCTTGGGTTGACACTGAATCTTATGCTTAATGGTTTTTCCCTTACTCTGTACATTTCGCTCGTTCGTGAGACATCGTATGGATCCCTCGCCCCGGGAATGACTAGCTTTGATTGATCGATTGTCAGCCTTTCTGCATAGCCTGCGTACAGGCCCTGATTTGAATCATGTCACTGAGTTGGACAGACAGACGTTTGGTGGCCGGTTGGGCGTGAACAGTATTTTCTACCCGGTCGTTCGTGTTCTCACTACCCTTAGTGGGTGGAAGCAATCGTGGGGTTCCGACACAACACTACTCCATCAGCTTTCTTGGCTCGATCATTCCGGACAATGGACACACCTGTTAGCGCGATTTCGGCACCTGTTATCTCACAGGTTTCCGTGCTAGAGATGATGTCCCAAGCTGCTGACGCGTGTCTTAATTCAGCTAATTTGTTGAGTAGACCTTGAGCATTTGTGTATATGCACCAGATTCTTGAAGAGCAAAAGTGTGTTGGGTGGAATGGATGAAAAAAGTGAGCTTACGCGGACTGCTGAAGGGTCCACGGCTAATCGTTTACTGGATCGATTGCAGACTCTCGAGACGAATTTGGTATACATACAATTATCAGATGGCCCGGATCCCGGTGTTCGCTCGTGCTCTGCTGTATCCCTCCGGATGTTATAGCTACTGTTGAGACCGTCACCGAGTCGAATCCTACAGTTGGTGTTTTCATTAAGAGTTGCACCTCCACTGAGTTGTCATTAGAAGGTCGCGGTGCTGTTTCAGACGAATTTCCGTTGGCAACCTGCTACGGAATTTAGTCCAGTTCTTTAGAAGAGTTTGTGCCGTTAGTTCTGATTGCAACACCAGTTCCAACAGTCTGGTACCGCACCCCTTATAGTTCAGTGATAAGGAGATGCTTGTCAAGGTGCCCACGACATTTTCGAGAGAAAAAGCCTCACGGATGTAGTGCCACTGCTCTCGGTCGTGTACCTGCAAACCGTCGGAAGAGGAATCAGTAAGCTCAGAAACACCGTGAGCCGCAAATGAGGAGGAATAGTCCAAAGATATCTAACTTGTTCATTTGCTGTGTGTACGTGTGATAATCTAACAATCCCGTTGAAATGTCCATTTTCACCGAGCGTCCGCGAATTTCAACTGAAGACTAGTCAGTCAACGTTGTATTAGATTGGGAATAGTTATTCCAGTTTCTAATATAAGATTTTAAATGCACACACACTTTGGCTCAAACATTTTCATTTGAAACAAAACCCATTCATATTGAAACACATTCGCCAACGGGAAACAAATTTACCCAAGATAAATAACATATCGGTTCGGATGGCGATGAAATTGTCGAAGGCGGTTTCAGAATCTCCAGGGGTTTTAAATTTTTCTCTCTATGGAAATTATGCAGGTGCCTGAAAAATTGGTAAACGGTTAGTGAAAAGTCAGGGGAGTATGGTGGGTGAGGCAAAGTTCCGTAGCCCAGATCGTGCAGCTTCCGCAGCGTTGTTTGTACGACAAGCAGCCAAGCGTTAAGATGGAGAAGAATTGGCCCCTTTCTGTTGACCAAGGTAGTCAGACAAAATGAATCCTTCCGAGAGCAACTGTAATTGTGCAACTACACCTCTACCCTAGTTTGTCGTTTGTTACTGGTTCATGCGTTTGGTCGGCACATGATCAATCTCATTTGAACTGATCGTTAATCCATTTTTACGCCCATTGCTATTTCACTCATACGATTGTACAGGTCTGAAGATGAATCATCGAAGACAACTGTTTACCTTCGGTCTTTTGTTCTTGATAATAAAATGGGAATTTTCCAGTAACTACAATACTTCTCCGCTGTAATGATTTGCCCTGGATCCAGGAAGATGTAGTGGATCGTACCAACCGGAGGCCACCAAAGTCGACATAAACCAGTTTGGGTGAAAGTTCCAGTTTGGTAATTGTTGTGGAGCATGACCGTGCGCTCCAACCATTGAGAAATACATCGTCGATTGTCGTAAAAGATCTATTTCTCATTGCAAGTCACAATCCGGCAGGGAAACAGGTCGTTTTTATTGCGCAAAGGGCAGACGAGTTCTTTGATTTCCACACAATTCGTGCAGCACTCACTTATCTAGCTTTGTCGACATCTCAATATTCCGTAAAATTTTTCAGAACTATCACATGCGATACGCTAAATCAACAGCAAGATCTTGAATCGTTTTACGCGGATCCGCTTTAACTAAAGCCGTTAATTGACAGTAGTTCCCTTTTAATGACTCATCTTCACGTCTCTCGTAACCTATTCAAAATTTCTGAAACTAACATTGCGTAGTATGGTTCCAACACTAAAGGCACTGTTGATATCATGGGGTGTTTCCGCTGCATTTCGACAAAGTTCAAATGGGTACAAGGAGATTGTTGGAATTTGGCTTCTGTTCATGTTGTAATAAATGTTCTATAAAAATGTAAAAACTCGTTTCTGAGCTAAACTATCATGCTACAAAATGATATGCAAGTCCAGAGCAACTTGTTAAACGTTATACAGAATCACAGCTGTTAACATACAAATAGCAAAAACCGAAATAAATTAATTACCAACTTAATACATTTCGTAGTACACAGTGAATTAAACGTCGTTCCTCTCTGTGTGTGTGTGTTCACACAGCGCGCGTTTCAAATAAGAGGAACATGCTCGGACTTCAGTGAATTTTTCCACAAACTGAGCAGTTTCACAGCGGTGGTTGGTGATGAATACTGTTTCAATTGGTTACTTGCATATAGCTGACATTACGGAAACGCTAAGATAATACTAAAATAGTAAATTGTGAACCAATCGGTGTGAGAAGACAGACGTTGTGCCGGGTAATCAGGTTATGTTGGGAAATGTGGCTGGTAGCGGATTAGGGAGGTATATCATCCGCACATAGAACCGAATGACTGCAGGGTTGAGAACTGACAAGTAGAGTGATAAAGGTGAGTTGCACTGGTCAAAAACTATGCTAACCGAATCGAGTAAACTTGACGATACGTTGAAGTAACTGAAACCCCTTGATTTGGAACTGACTGCCAAGTCACTAGGCTCAGCGTCACATGCATTAGACGCGCAGTCGATACGATGAATGACGGTGGTGTCGAGAATGATAAAAATGTGTATTTACAGAAAATATTAGAAATACACAAAGTCGATAGAACGAATAGTGAACGAAGAAATGCAAATCTACTGCGAATCACCGGTGATGTCGTCTCTTTTTCTTTCCACTTGGAGTGGTGCTAAAAGGCGGGAAAATTTTGTTAGTCTGTGGAAATTGCTGTGTCCCATGCCCGTTGACCAAAATGGTGGGGTTCGGGCTTGCACGGTGATCCGTGGTTGGCCCCTGACTCGTAGTAAAATCGTCTGCGTTCGCTGGAAGGAAAGAAAATACAAATGGTTGGGTAGATTGGAAAGGATTAATACAGCCAGCTGCGTGGGACACGGTTAAACGTTTGAGGTGATATGATTCAACTATGGTTGTGAGGCGCTACATGCGATTGGTCTCGAAAACAAACCGTAACCAAATAAAGAGCGAGAAACGGGCACTTTTAACAACAATGGTATATCTGCTAGTTGATAGTAGGATAACTCCCCCAAAAAGCCATATATGAGAAACGTGAAAAAGGAGCAAATTGGTATTTCACATGTATGGGACAGTGTGCCCTAAATGAACGCGCAACGCGTGCAGCAAAACTGGAAGCATTGCCCAAGCGAACCAGTTAGGTGATAAATTAGACTATAAGAAAGCTAAACGATGCAACAGAAGGGCATGTGAGAATGAGGCTCATTTCGATGGAGCTAGGCAATTGTGTTAGCGTGGACATAGTCGGGTAGGTTAGCTGCCGACTCCAGGCTCAGTTTAGGCACCATGGTCAGACCGAGAACAGCTGACACGAGTGCTCACGTGGCCAGTCAGAAAGTGGACCAAAACAGCGCAGAGTGTAATAACAGTGAAATCACGCGCAACGGGCACTAGCGGTGCATGATGAGCCGGCTAACTAAAACACCGGCTGCACTTTAATTCAGAACGAATTCATGTATGCAGCACATGCATGCACTTCACTGCACTGAAAAACCCGACACAGTTCCGCATATTATCACGATGTTTGGGTGATGTGACTGGCCACCACAGTGACCAATGGTGGATTTAGCAAGGATTAATAGCCGTGTGACTAGCAGACAACTTGGCATCACACTGAAGCATGCACTATTCGGGCATTCGAACAGCCAGCGGCCACGCATGTTCTGAACTTTTTATGCCTCAAGGGGTTAGAATCGTAAACCATACATCACCCAAATAAACAATCAGATTGGCACGGTGTTCACGGAAAACGACGTCGGTTACTAAGAGATCAGCGGCGGTAAAAAAAAACTATCTGCACATTGGTGTGACAACGAATTACGAGGGCACTCGGTACCGATGGATAGTGTGAAGCGATCGACGCTGAATAGGAGTGTGAAAATGACAACGTCCGAGGCGGTAACAAAAAAGCAAGCAAGAAACTTTCCAAGGAAAAGAAAATCCATGAGAATTACGTGGTAAACAGTCCAAAGATGTCATCAGTAAACCGGAGTCCGAGTTAGCCATTCAGACCATGGGCATTGTCAGACAGAAAGTTCACAGCGGGTAAACAACGCTTTGGAATGGCTATGGAGACGTTTCACAAACATGGGCAATAAGGAATAACATGAAATCCGCAGCAGTAAGCCAAAAGCAGCGTAAAACAAGGGTGAAAAAAGGCATCAGCAGTATGCCGGTGCGCAGTAGCAGCGCTTCAGTGTCGTGCAACCACCACCAGTTGCGCGTAGGTTAAGGATACTGCGAGGGTCGCCCTGCCCCTACGCAGGCGCGAACCGCGTCGTCAGATCATAAGAGAAGCTGGTTACCTATAGGCTGCGGGCCGGCGGATGAAACTCTCGTCGTAAAATAAACAACGAAGGGATACATGTCGGATACTAATAATGCACACAATTTGTCTGAGGTAAGTCTGGCACTTAATCCAAGCTAGAAAGGGAAAAATGAAATTGCCAAGCTGCTCATAAGAGAGAGAACTATGCAACCGATTAGAATTCCTTGAGAAAAGTGGAAGTAGCAATACAGTAGGAAGTAAATGATTGGTATCTGGACACTAAATGGACCATATGTCGACATTTCCTGGGGACGAGCAAAAAGAGAGTACGTAGTAAGCAAACTGAGTGGTTAGTCGATTCTTGACCGACCAGCGCACTGACGAAGTCACCTCGATTGGTGATGAAACGTCCGCAACGACACCTGGACAGACAACCCGAGCTACAGGTCTTCCAATTTGTTTCTAAGAGACTAAGTAGTTTGGTAAGGCGGAGGTAAGACATTCCAGTTGTCTAACTAGTCCGCTACCTCTTCATCTGTGCAGATCAAGAACGAGTGCCAAGACTTGCCCACAATGCTGACTAGTAAAGAACGGAATGCTCTTCGGCACCACTTGGCTTTGTGCAGAATCACTTGATCGATCGATACACCATAACGAGCAAACATTTTCATGAACTGTTATCATGGTAATGACTGGTCACGTGCTGTTTCCACAGACTGGACAGCAAATCGTTCGGAAAGGAAGAATATTTTTAAACATCGACGATTTGTTGCCGTGGATGAACCCATATGTATGGATGTTCAAGAAGCTATGAAACAAACTCCAGCATGTCACGAAACGTCGAGTTGTTTGTCAGCAGTGCATATAGCCCAGACGAAACATATGATGACAACAGTTGGAAGTGGCGCATTCCACGATATGCAATCCATAAGAAAAACCTGAATCAATCCAAACAATTAATCCGACTGGGATGTATTCTTCCTCTCTAACAATGCGTGCATCGCCTTGGACTATTTCTACGACCGCGTCCATCAGACCATTGCTGTCCTTGCTCCCTAAGGGGATTATTCGGGTCCCAAAAAACGCAGTCGTGCGTTCAGTCAGTCAGGAAAACAGAAGATTAAGTGCTCGATACAGAAAGAGGGAAAACTTTCCCTTGCACCTACAGTTGCGCAACATCAATAACAGGGCCAAGCACATGTAGTTGATGAGGAGGATATAAGAACTGGTAGCTCCACGAATGACATGTAAAACGAAAGAACATGTTAAAATTCGGCGTCGCAGAACCAACCACCACTTCCCCTTGATCGATGGACTGGTTAGTGCAACCAGACAGTTACTTCACGATCCAGCTGCTTTCTGTGAAGTGTACAGATCATCATTCGCTCCATTCATGAGCCTGGAGACGGACGTGTTAAATGCATGCATTGGGGTGTAAACAACCAAGCCTGGCGGAAAATTGATTTTTTCTATCAGCACTATCCAACATGCAATGAATGCCATCAAACAGTCTTCCCATCTAGACTCCGATGGTATGCCACCTGCCGTCATAAAACTGGGAGCGCCTGACACCGCTGTTAATGCTGAACATAATTATCGTTTCGTTGGAATCAAGCTGCTTTTCAGGAAAGGGGAAAACATCGATCATTATCAACGGTTACAAGGGTGGCTCTAAACAAAAACCTGAAAATTACCAGCCTATACATCACACTCCTGTGGTAGTCAGATTATTACAGAAACTGGTTAAGAATGGCGTGATGAAATTCAGCAATTCGCTAGAGCGAATCGACCGTGTATAAACTGCCAGCTGCATTAGCTAAGACATGTCTCGAAATTAATTGACTCACGACACGCCATCATACTTCTGGTCCAGGATATAGAAAACGCAGTCGATGGAGTGACCCAAAAAAAGGCTGCGGAAAAAGCGCGCTCCGTCGCAACGACACTGGACCTTAATGTGGTGCAATGATTTGCGTATCTCGTTGACCCATTGAGCTATACTGGGTGACGCCCCTGAGCCACTTGAGAGCTACTCCTACCAGGTTGGTCAGTGGTTAGAGGTCAGATAAACTCAGTCCTGTAGGTTAAGGGTATGAAATGGGATGGCGTCCATTTCAGTAAAACTAAATCATTGCTACCTCCCAGCTGTCTTGTGAACAGCCCTTCGAGCCAAAGGCTTTGGTTGAGGACCCTAATTCTCCTCTTGTCTATGTCTGAGCACTATGGCAATATATCTGCCCACATACAACCAACACAATTTCTTGAAAAGTCAACTAGATCCCACATCAGTCGTCGCGAAAGTCATCAAGCGTCGCTTTATCTGTTGCACACAGCAGGGTGGATAAGTGAAAACATGCTACTGCTGGCGCGTTCCTTCTTTCTTTTCCACCTCTCTTTTACTCACATCCCGATCACAATAACTAACCTTAATTCTGTAATTCCCAGTTTAAATGACAAGCGAAGTGCAACTTAGAACCACCAGGAGCCATCTTCACACAACACCCACCGGACGCCTAGCGGCAACACTCCGTCATAAGGCCACGCTGTCCCCTTTCCATAGTGGCGTCCAACTAGGCATTGACGTGTGTCGCGTATCCTAAATTAGGACCAATTACCCAAAGAGGGTAGTTTAATTAACTGCGCCAGGCTTGTCCACTCGCTATCGGCTGCACGCATCCGGAGACGCTGACAACACTAACAGAGCAAGTTGCGGTACGTATGGTTCACAGCTCCAAGGCTGAGCCATCGTTTATCGAATTCCTGCGAACAGCTGTTTGGGTGCAGCCCCTTTAAAGACATCGACCAAGGTTTATTCACGAACTAGTGCAAGATGTTGTTTGTTTATGCCTTCCGCTTATGCTCCCACCGACTGCAGTTTTAATGCTGTCAAGGATACATTCTAGCACGAACAGAACGCGCTACTACGTAACGTTGTTAGTTCAGATATCATACTAATTGCAGGGAATATGAACGCACAAGTAGGGCGCCTGAGCTCTTCAGAAGCTCAGCTGGGTGGTAAATATAGCCTTAACTCCGAATGGAGTGAAAACGGCGAGCGTCTGCTGCAACTGTGTGCGGGGCACCAGTTGTTTCTTAGTATCAGTGCGCAGAAGTGACACATATCATCTTCTTGTAGCTGGTCTGCGATGGACCGAAATTGACCACATAGCCATAAGTTACAGGTGGCGTGGTTCCACCCAGAATTGCCGCTCGTATTGGAGTAGCTGTGTCGACTCTGATCATGCCTTGGTACACTGTCGTTTCTCCATGAACTTTACTGGGTGGCGCACCAAACGTCTCCTTCGATTGGCAACTGAGAAACTGCCTTAGCCCTCAATCAGACAAGCCTATCAAGATGCATTGCATACCGAACATTCGTTGTCATGTCCTATTGACACTGAGCTTCAGTGGAATAGGATCTGGGCCCCCATGCACGACGCAGGAGCATCTGCTTGCGGCACTATCAATGGTCACCGCACTAGTCACTGGATATTCAAGAGGTCGGTGAACCTGTTGGAATCT